TCATCGGTGCTCTCTGGGCAGACCTGGAGCCGCCCGAGCCAGGCTAGGCTCGGTGAATGACGTACACACGAGCTCTCCGCCCTCGGTGCTCTCTGGGCGCACCTGGAGGTGCCCGAGCCAGGCTAGGCTCGGTGAATGACGCACACACAAACTCTCCGCCCTCGGTGCTCTCTGGGCAGACCTGGAGGTGCCCGAGCCAGGCTAGGCTCGGTGAATGGCGCACACACGGGCTCTCTGTACCTCATCAGGTCACGGGGACCTTACGCGCCATGCTAGCGCGAACGTAGCCCGCTGCAACCACGGCGGCAACTTCGCCAGCGGCACGCTCGACACCATGATGTAACCCACCAGGCTGTTTGTTATGCTCCGTCCTTACCGTTCGCATTCACTCACCCATCAGCTTCAGAAGTGGTAACAAGAGGCCCAAACATGCCCATAAATGCGAACTCTCAAGCGAAGCTTTTAAAGTTTCCGAATGCATGTATACTACATTCAGAGTGAGACAGACATTTTACGTGATAAAAATGCAAGCTATGGAATATTTTTCTTGTTTTCTTTACTTGCTATGCACGCTCACATTTGGCTTTACCTTTCAACTGTATGACATAACCGACGAACATCAGTATGGCTCATCACAGTACAACTCAACCATGATCGTAAAGTTTAAAAGATTGGGTACAATCGCTATTAAAATCACTGAGCAGAGAGAACAAAAGACCTTAACTAGATCGTCAGAACTCAGTGCAATACACGTGTGGACTTATGGAATATTAACTCAGGATGTCTGCAGTCTTATAAACTATATTGGCCATAAAACAATAACGGGTCGGCACTGAGAAGCTGAACAAACTTAGAGAGCTCATAACATAACCAGATGATGGGACAGTGGTATTAGCCTTATTCTTCGGAAAAACAGCTTTTGAAGCTTGCTTGGCTTGCTGTTTTAAAAAATCAACTGAAAAATCGAGTAGGATCATCAAGGCAACTTTGAATTCACTTCTGCTAATGTTTCGAGAAAGGCACGCTGCCGAAATATCAACCTAACTATATCTCTATTTTCCTGGGTTTTCCGAGGAATAAGGCTTATACTACTGTCTTATCTATGTGACTAATGTGACTAATGTTCCTCGCTAATGCACTGAGCAACTTGCATAACCAGATATATTGACCGCAATATCAACCTGAACAAGGGAACAGTAAGCCGTCTCCTACCAAAGTAAGTGAGTGAGTGCTTAAAGCGCGGAGAATGGCCCAAATGCTGACCTCCCACAGGACGCGCGATACACACAACGTGCTTGACATCAATGGGAGCAAGATTTGTACGGTCCTCAGCGCGGTTCGCTCAGTTTTGCCCACATGACTTCGGCTGCCACGGATTTAAAACCCCCACCGGCTGCACTGCAAAACAATGACCCGCGAATCAAAGCCCCACCGACAGTTTGCTCCATATTTACGTTAAGCAAGATAATAACCGTTACGGAAAGTGCCCGGTGTCAATGAAAACCTACCGCAGGTGTATTGGTACTTCTACAGCGCCGATGCATTTCTGTCTTGCCACGGTGCCCGCGTATTCCAGATGGATTTTGGGCTTGGTGTCCCAACTCAATGCTTCTATGAGTCTCTCTCCAACACAACCTTACGTAGACCGCAAAATCGATGCCGTTAAAACTCAACCGACGGAGGCTGACCCAGCGACTACGCAAAAGGCTCCGTGAACTGTTCAGCCCTCGCTTCTCACTTCCCATTTCCCAGTCAACCCACTTACAGTACACAAATAGTTATAAGTGAGCTTAGTTTATCTTATCTGTTTGCTTCATTTTCTTCAAATCTGAAGCATTCCCTTGGAAGGGAATGTTCCGCATTTGAAGAAACTGCAGCAAGCATCAGATAAAATGAAAAAACAACTTATACCTGTTGGCATGCTTCTACGGAAACGGAAAACTCAACCTCTACTAGGATCAGAGTTAAAGCCAACGAGTGCTTGCTGTGACAAAGGCTGACTCCAACATGCCATCGTGCAGTCGCGGTTCGACAGCATTTTGTGGCGAAAGTGTACCGTGCCACGGTGCTCGGCAAGGCCGCTGTGCTCCTGTTACGCCTTGATGAGCAGCTACAGCAGTGATGGATACATCCTATAAGCATTGGCACTACAACAGCGCGACAAACGTGACATAAACATGCTTGCGACACGTCGCAAAAACCGCGTCCAGATTCCGCGGCTTCGGCCTTGTTCGCCGCCGTAAACGCCTATGATATACCGCTGTCGATTTATATGATGATGTGTAGTCACAAGGCAAGGACTGAGACCCATTTTACGCGGTGGCTGAAAACGAAATACAAGTCGGCCACAGCTCCCTAAATATGCTGGCAGCTCCCGCAGTTCATTTGGCGGTTGGCTACGCCTCCGCAGGCATCATTTAGAACTCTCTTGCAAAGGATATATGCTGCTTACATAGATGACATTACTGGACGCTCGCAAAGGCCCCTGCTAGTAAAAAGGATTATTTGTATCACACATTTAGCGTAGAGCAGGTAGAGAGCTCGGGCGCATCTTTATCCTGGTATTACTCCTAGTTCTGCTCCAGCAGTTCACACTCATCACGTAGCGCCTAGGTATGCATGAGTGGTGGAAAACATGCGAAGCTCTCTTGAGTAATCTTTATGCGGAGGACCACGTTCTCACTCACCCCGGTCAAAGACCAACTGGGTATGGTAACAGTGCCGTGGACGAGACTCTTGCCTTGAACGGACAGTGCTGTGTCCCAGTACAGTGCCATGAACACTTGCCTTGGACGGACAGCGCTGTGCCCCAAGCACATCTCCCACACAGCGCTCCTGGAGTCGCCAATGTATGATATAGGAGTAATCTAAAACCGGTGACTGAGAACATTCGTTATGTTTCCGAACCCTCAACATTAGGTCATTCAGCCGCCAAAATCACCGTCGGGGAGATATCGCCCTAGCATGAAGACGGCCCGCAGATTCGGCTCCGCTAAAGCGATCGACATTTCCGCCACTGAGCCAGCTGGCCGCTGGACCTCCGCCCACCGACCCGCCGCAGTGCCGGCCTGAACGCGCCCCTGCCCCAACCCCGTCCCAACCCCTGCCCCAGGCTCGACACGCCCCTGCCCCAGCTTCGACACGCCCTGCCCCCGCTTCGACGCGCCATGCCCGAGCTTCGACACGCCCTGCCCCAGCTTCGACGCGCCCATGCCCGAGCTTCGACGCACCCTGCCCCAGCTTCGACGCGCCCTGCCCAAGCTTTGACACGCCCTACCCCAGCTTCGACCCGCCCTGCCCCAGCTTCTTCGACGCGCCCTGCCCAAGCTTTGACACGCCCTGCCCCAGCTTCGACACGCCCTGCCCCAGCTTCGACGCGCCCATGCCCCAGCTTCGTCGACGCACCCTTGACCCAGCTTCGACGCGCCCTGCCCCAGCTTCGACGCACCCTGCCCCAGCTTCGACGCGCCCGCTCCCAGGTCACTCACGGCTACAAGGGCGGAGTAGCTGGGGCACGAGGGCAGCAGCAGCGTGGCGACGCCGCAGCCCAGCATGCACGCCACGTAGAGGGCCGTGCTCGACGCCCACGGCCGGTCCCCGACGTAGCCGATCAGCAGCTGAAACAAGGGCTGGCGACGTAGCCGATCAGCAGCTGAACACGGGCGGCGACGTGAACGATCAGCAGCTGAACACGGGTGGCGACGTAGCCGATCAGCAGCTGAACACGGGCGGTGACGTAGCCGGTAGGCAGCTGAAACACGGGTGGCGAGGTAGCAGATCAGCAGCTGAACAGGGGCGGCGACGAAGCCGGTAGGCAGCTGAAACACGGCGGCAACGTAGCCGATGAGCAGCTGAAACACAGGCGGCGACGAAGTCGATCAGCACCTACACACGGGCGGCGATATAGCCGATCAGTAGCTGAAACACGGGCGGCAACGCAGCCGATCAGCAGCTGAAACAAGGACGGAAACGTAGCCGGTAGGCGGCTGAAACACAGGCAGCGACGTAGCCGATCAGCAGCTAAAACACGGGCGGCGACGTAGCCCATCAGCAGCTGAAACAAGGGCGGCGAGGCAGTCAGTGACCGAAATAGGGACAGAGGCTCAACCGGTGACAGGCATGCAATCGGCGGCTGAAGCAGGGACGGTGACGCTGCAGGAACCGAACAAAGTAAGGAGACACGGCCCTGGCTGCTGGCAAACATTCCAAACATTCCTGCATGAGGCGTGATTTCGACGAGCGCAGTACTGCTGCTGTGGGAACCACAGCCAGCACGGCCACAGGCTCATTAGACACACCGTCGCAACGAGACAGCAAACATAACCGATTAGCTGATCCGTAGCACTCCGTATTTTCCCGGTCATCTATCAGCCATGCAATACGCGATCGTCGCATCTTGTAAGCGATAGGTCAGCCAGGCACAGCCATCAATTCGGTCACGGTAAACGTAGCAATGTCAGGAATGGTATATACCGGGTCATATTGACGCGAGTGATCACAAGTCAGCAAGCACGCTCGTCTGAAAGGACACAGGCAGGGAATACGTCTAAAACTGTGTTACTTATAGGCTGGAGTGCACGTTACGCATAATTCATTGCATGTAATGATAATGCATAGCATGCTTTTCTGTACCTGATAACCTGGTGGGCTTCTGTGCAAAAATAAAATCTGTAAACGACACCTTATACACCTTTGGAGACGCCATTGCCTGTCGGACGCTCAAGGGGGTGTTCCACATTTATGTGGGGTTTTGAACTGAAATAACAGTCTTGAAGACCTTTCGATAATGTTCAAAATCCTACCCGTTTTAAGACTCGAGCCCCTTTAGTTTCTGAGCTACACGCCCGCGAAAATGGGAAAAGGTATTCAGGGAGAGTATTGCAGAGTCACCTTGTATGAACATTAATGACGTCACAACGTCATTGAAACGCCATGTTGTGCAAGGTACGTTCGCGTCATCAAACCGTGACGCATCGCAGGGCATTACTAAACAGAGCAAGTGTGCTGTCTCGAACAAAATTTTCCACTCACCTGTCTTATCGTATCTGATGTTTGGTTCAACATTCTCAAATGGATGTTTGGTTCAACATCCTCATTCCCTTTAATGCGGCCGCTCAACCTTTTGCTCAAGTCAGTTCCACTAACACAATCTGCCCAGAACATCCGAATACGTGCTAGCCTTCTGCCTTAAAATGTCACTGCCATACACCACCTTTCCCGCTGCTCCGAGCCCCACACTGCACTTCCAGTGAGTTATTTGTCTTCGGTCGCTGTCGCATTCCGGATAAGAGGTTCGGACACTAATGGACCTTGTCTCCCGCGGCAGTATGCAGCGTCACAACATGTTTCCAGCGCGCATTTCACGTCGGCAAGCGCGGTGTCCGATCGCCAGCACGTGATCGCAGTGCCCCCAGGTGCAGTAGCAGCCAGCAGTGGCGGATGCAGGAGGTCACAGAGGTCGGTCGGGCCGCCAAACTGCATCAGCTACAAGCGTTTCAAGTCCCGCAACGACGTGAACGTCACTGCTTTGTGGGCTACTGACGTGACGTGACGTGACGTGACGTGACGTGACGTGTCCGTGACGGCTGACTACGCGCCTGCCCGTGGTTCAGGTGTCGACTGCACTGCTGCCCCTGCTTGGCCTGGTGACCGCACCGCAGGGCCTGTTTCAGGTGCCGGCTGCACCTCTGCACCCGTTTCGCGCGCTGACTGCACCGCTGCTCCTGCTTGGCTTTGTGACAATGCCGCGGTGTCTGTTTCAGGTGCCGACTGCACCTCGGCCCCTGTTAGAGGTGCTGACTGCACCACCGTCCCTGCCCGGCCTTGCGCGAACACTGCAGTGTGTGTTTCAGTCCTGACTGCACCTCGGCTTCTGTTTCAGCTCAGGACCATGAGCGCCGTGTCGAGGCCGGCACCACAGCCGAGTGCTGGTGGAGCCCAGTGTGCCCCCCCCCCCCCCCCGCCACACCATCCGCGTGACTCAAAGCCGGGCAGTTGGGAACCACCTCCTCACGGGTCACCACCGCCGGAAACTCGCAGGCCGCAGAGGCGCGCGGAGTTCGCACGCTATCATACCGTGAGGTGGCGCATTCGCGTAATCACCGCATCCTGCACAAACATCAAGCGCTCGTCAAGGGTCACGCAAACTGGAAGGAACATCAAAATGATTTAACCCCTACTTACATCGCTGAGTGCGCCGCTGTTGAGGGCATTAGCGGCCCAATCGGCTTATGGTGCAGCGTTCCAGGCCAGCGCATTAGCTGAGCCACGAGAAAGCAGCTGATCCCACGGGCACCGCCCCCCGCTAATGCGGCGTGCGCCGGTCCGGGGGCGTACGAGCGCCGTGCCCTGCAGCAACCAGCCACCGGGCACCACGCAGCGCTTAGCGCTGTTACGACGGTCAGCCAGTCCGATCAGCCCACAGCCACGATCCGCAATCCTCGAGAAAGTCGCCAGCGAGGGTGTGCGTGTCCAGACGCCATTGATTGCGTCGGCCTGTCAGCTCAGGTGGGCCCGGCGGCGCCATGGATCCGCCGCTGAGAAGCTGCCCGCGATGGCGCACCACCAGAAATCTCCCTTGTGCGGCGTCGGCAATATCGGCAGCGCTCGATCGCGGGAAAGAAGCCCCCGTCGGTGGCCGGCGTCTCCGGAGAATACGAACACACCGGATACATGCTAACTGTAGCCTGCACGGCTGTGTGTATACCAGGGACGCAGGTGGAGCCAGGAGCTGCTCCCGCAAACGCCATCCTCGTGACATGTTACATATATCGGCACGTTTCAGGCTTATTATGAATATGCATTCACGGTTAGACTCATTTTTCGCACGGAGGACAGCGAACATCGTCACATGGCTTTTGTGGAACACCAGTGACTGCGGTGCATGCAATAGAGCTCAGCGCGCACCAGGGTTCGATCGTTGTCCCCAGCCCTTTCGTGTCAGCTCCCATGGTCCTTTAAACTAGACCACCACGGCTTCTATGCTTAAATTGCCTGAATTCATAAGCCTTGTTGCAAGCACCTGGCATGACAATACTTTATAGTACATTTTACCGTAATATATATATATATATATATATATATATATATATATATATTCGTGTACTTATGCAGTGTGCTCCCATTTATGCAATATTTGTTATACGCAAGGGCAAATGTACATTTACTAAGTTTCTTGCGCGTTTGTTCGATTGCTCGAAATAAATCCTTCGTTGTTTTCGGCAAGTCATAAATCAACACGCCTTTAGACATACATATTTGTTTACACTAGCCAACTTTTCGCGGACATTCATTCCCCATTCTCAAGGCAATGTAAGACGGTCGGACGGAAAACATTCGAATCAAGCCCCCGCATAACTGCATTCTGGGCAGTGATGTAGTGACGTCATCATGGGACTACGTCAAATGGCATCAACGCTACGTTGGCGTGAAAATGCTGTTTTTTTCCTGGCTGGTTTAAACAAAGATATCTTCATAAACCAATTCGTTTCGACCTAGCACATTCAATGAAGCATTTGAAGCATTTGAAGGGAAAGGACGCTGGTTTGCACCAGAGCTACAAAATTATTGCTGAAATGCACTACCAGCCTGCTCTCGACAGAGAGCTAGGGTAACCCATCTACCATTGATTTATTCTAAAGAACCCTAGCCGGAAGTGCTTAGAAACAGTGTGCATAAAAGAGCACAGATACAACAACAATATAGGGTGGGAATGGGAAACGGCGGACCAGACGGACTCGCAGCACCCTAGGACGCGCACTGAGAAGTTGGAATGGGCATCCTCTAGCCTTGGGGGAAGCGTTGTCAGGGTGGGTGCAGGATTGACCTGCTCTAATGGGGGTAGTGAGTGAAGAACCACGAGAGGCTTAAAGTTAGCGCGCGTCATTTCAGTTCAAGATAGCGGATTTTCCTGTGAAATGGGCCGATTTCTGGCATGTTTCGCGATTCCTGCCAGCCAAAGAGACGTGGCCCGTATCTCAGCTCAGAAATAGTCTTAGGGATGTATTAGGGTGGTCGGGACATTATTCTCTGCACACCACTTTGATCTCACTCATCCACCATTATGGATCTGCAAGTTAGCCAACACCTAGGAACATCAAAGCACGGCAACAGCGCAATTCTGGACGCCTGCGCTCCTCACATCACCTTGTTTTCACAATTCACTCCATTTACGTACTGCAGTACGGAGATACATAGCAATCATTGCCCATAAATGAATTAAATGTAAACATTTCATATGATACATTTATTTACATCCAAATATTCCTTTTATAAGAACGAACTGCACACCAATATTCAGGCGCGCTGACCACGACGAACATGGCGCGGCGGCTGGAGCTAGAAAACGTAGTTTAGTAGGATTTATTTTTAGAAGCAGATCCTAGTACTGATGAGTCTGCGCAGCCTTTTACTCTAGTAGCCTTGATTCGAACATAGCAAAATATGAGGCATGCCCTACGAAACATACTTATTGGTGAACCATCAGTAACAGATTATACATACGAATATCTAGTCAAATTGCAACGCACACAAACACACGCATATCACTTTTCCAGCCAGTTTAACACCATGGAGAGATAAAGCCATGGAATCCCTCTGCTGCCATTGAGTAACAGCA